TATGTTTGTTGTTTTTATCACTAATGTCTCTCTGTTTCACTGCTGTTTTTAATTAACCCAACTATTCATAATGAATAACAACAAAAAATCTTTATTAAATTTCCATTACGCACACACATACACTTACTGTATGTACACAGCATTATGAGAGGCTGCGCAGTGTAACATCCTGTTCATTTGCTGTTGAGGCGTTCCTATAAATATTAATAGAGTTAAAGGCTTATTAAGTAACTGCACAGAGTTACTAATAGACAGATAGAGAGGGGGGACAGAAAGGGAGAAAGTGAGACTTTGACTTTTGAAGCAGTCCAAAGAAATGGCTCACAACAAGCAAGAAGAAAAACAACTGGCTCATCAACAACACCCACCCACCCACACGAACACATACACACACACACGACCGCTGAACAAAAGACACGATAGATGAAAAACATTAAAGTATCTCACAAGGTCAATTGATATTTAGAAAGGCAACCAGCCAACCCTCTTTCCTCACCACTAAATGTGAGAAAAACACTGAGAGTGTGAATATAAGAGAAAGAAATTAAGAGAGAGCCCGTTTTTACAAGCGTTAAAATATGTGTTCAGGAAGACTGAAGGGAATCGAGATTAACCTCCAAGACAACACAGCTGTGTATCATAATTATTGGATTACAATCACCTGTTGTTTGTCTACCGGTATAATCATGTGATGTAGTGTATTTACAATGACAATTAAGCATCAGGGACCTTCGCCACAATGGTCACATAAATAACCTCTTAGTTAAGGTAAAAGAATGACAGCAGTCACAATAAAAAGAAACCAACATTACCTGTCAGTTGGAAACAGGAAAGAGTTAGCGTCTGTTACAGTCTGATGTTTTGTTGACCATCCACCCACCCCAACCTCCTGCCAGTGCAGACTTTCGAAGGGTTGATGGTAGTCAGAATCACAATCAGCTTTATTGCCAAATAGGTTTACAGATACAAGATACATTTTGTTGTATGCAACATGCATTGACAATAAAGGCATTCAATTTGTGCAGTGAATGCAAAATATTCTTATGTAAAACATTTGAGATAATTATTGGAGACGTAATAATGAACCTAAAAATAAGGTTGGTTGCAGCAATGCTAGTGACGTGGCTCTTGGGATATGGCAAATCAGTAGATCTATTACCTTTATTCAGACTGAAATATCTCCAAGTCTACTGGATGGATTGGCCTAAAATTTTGTACAGATATTCATGGTCCAAAGAGGAAAGAGCCTTCTCAACTTTTGATATAGCTCCATCAACAGGCAAATAGGTTTTTGAATAATTACTGTCACAGTCAGTCTGTGTCTGTCTGTTCGTCTTCTCCAGGCACATTCTTAATTCTCATGGCCCCTTCATTGCCATTTCCCATCCATCCACCAGATGCCCTTCTTTCCCCATCACCTGACTGCCCCACCCATCTTCACACTTGTTCCCACTTCCCTCGCCTGGCCCTACCCACTCACCTCTTCACCTGCATCTCATTCCTCAATCAATCACTATTCCTAGATCCTTTGTTCCTCAGTCTGGTTGCAATGTTGCGCATTTCGTGCTTTCAAGCTTCACTGTATATCTTGCTATCTGGAATATATCTGAACCTGTCTGCCTACTTGTACAAGTTATCTACCTGACTATCTGTACCTGCCTGTAAGCCTATATACCTTAATTTCAACAATAAATAATTGAGCTGTTGCATTCTGCTCTGACTGTCTGCATTTGGCTCTACCCTGTGACAAATTACAGATTAATGACATCCTCAATCCTCAGCTGTACTTTGTGTTTAGTGCAAATTTAGCAAACGTTATCATGCTAACACGCTAAACTAAGATGGTGAACATGGAAAACGTGGAGCAACCAATCAGAAAACATCATACCCTCTAAACATCATCACACTGTCATTCTGAGCATGCTAGCATGCTGATGTTAGCATTTAGCTCAAAGCACCACTGTGTACAACCTCGCAGAGCAGGTAGCATGATAGACTCTCTGTTGTAGCCTGTTGAAATCTATAATCTTATTGTTTGCTAAATTTAAATTTGAAAAGGTTTTTGAAGCGTTCAGATGACAAACCAAATGAACTACAAAGAAATTCTTTGTACAGGTCTGTTTATCTCCAGCTTTAACAAACTGGGCTTTAAAACAGCATTCTAAAATAATAATTACACCTTCAAATTAAGATTTTACCTTTTGAAGCAACAGCTGAAGGGGGTGAGAATGTGACTACAACACAGTTATAAACAGGGCCTTTAATTTACCTAAGAAAGTCTTAACCATAACTTTAGATATGTCAGTAGCTGTTACAGCTGCTTCAGCAGTGGCTGAGGATAGACTGTGTGGGCAGTGAAGGGGGAAGGGCTGCTCTCTGCATTACAGTACATTTTAACAAGTAGTTATTGCAGACTAAAAGGGTCTGTAATCAATGTTATTTCGAGGAGAGTACACACAAGGAGGAGAGAGTACCAGCAAGCTGACACTCCCCTCCTCTTCTTTTCTTTAGCCTTGCCATCTGTCCTCTCCTCCTCCTTAATCATCCTGTCCTTACATCCCGTGTTGCCTCCTCTTTGACACTCTTCCCTCTCCTGTTTTATTCCTTTATATTGTTCTCTTTTGTCTTTAATATATCAGCTGTTGGTCATCCTGCCCATTATTTATGGTCTCTTTTTCCTTTTTATTCCCATCTTCAGTTCTTTCTTTTTTTCTCTGCCTGCCAGAGAAATGAAACACCCATCCAGAGGACAGCATGTTATTTACAACAGACCACGAAACACCAGCTCAGCCTACACATGATCACAAACAGACCCCTCCCCCATCTTTTTACTTACTTAACGCATATTTGGCTATTTAACTGGGTCTTGGATGTTGTTTTGGATGCCTAAAGAACTGTCAATGTCTTTTATTTGACAAAAACTTGTCCACTCTGGAGCTTTCGTGCATGTCACATGATCTTCCTCAGCAGATGGCGAGATAGCGATAGAGTAAGAGAGACTTTTTCAAACCGTAAAACGTGGACTAGAAATATCAACGGTCTTTCAAGTTTTGAAAACATTATTTGATTTGAGTACATTTGAGGGGGGAATATCCTACCTTTGTGTCATAACTGCTGATGTCTTGGTGAGATTTGCTGTGCCGTACCCAGTAATGTGGCGGGAATCGGTACAAATTTCAAGCAAGCAAGAACTGCTTTTAAAATCACCTAAAGAACTTGTAATTCTGTATATATAGTTATAGAGGAGAGACTACTGCTACCACAAGTCTGTTTAAAAGCATTGCTAAACTATTGGAGTGGGGAAGGATTTTTGATGTTCAAACAATTCTGAGAGCCCTTTTGACCTAAATGACCTACTTTATATGCTTCCTGTTAACTTGCACGTTCTCAGGTCCGTGGGCTGTATTTTCTTTTCAGTCAAACTACATGGCCATTAAAAAGACATCCCTCCCTTCTGCCATTAATTCTAGTAATATTCCCCACAGGAGCATTTTTCTCTGGGCAAGAGAAATTTCTCATCAGCAGGGTCAACTAAAAAGAGTGCTGTAATTCATATGAATATGTTTTCAGGGAGAAATACTGTTTGTGCCATTTGTGGTTTAGATCTTCACGTCAGTTCTTATCTACATTTCAGCAAAGCAAACCCAGCACGCTCCCCCTCAGTCCATATTTGACTGCTTTTGAAGCTTCACCCTGTGGGATGAATGTGAAAACTGTAATGTCACCATAAGTGTGAGGTGATGCACTTGGGTTTTTTAGGATCCCTGTAAAAAAGGTTGATTAACTCCCCCTGTTGCTTGATCTACAGATAGTTCATTTTACTGCACATTACAACACAATACAATCATTCATAAAACTATGATCAAAAAACAGATAATGTGATGGATTGTATATGAATAATCTAACTATCCGTTCTAAGCCAAGTTACTGTTAGACAGCTCAAACAATCAAACTCAAAATCCAAACTGGACAACTTTGGACATCTAAATTCCTAAATGCTCCACTTCATGATTGTTTCCTGTAATAATGGGTACCATAAACACAACACTTCCTGTGGCAGCTGAAGATAAGCACAATAAGTATCACTATAATGTTATAAGACTGCAGAACAAGACAGCCCTCCTGCAAAACACTATATTAATAAACTTCATGCTTTGCAAGCTTACTTCTGAGCGAAGACGGCTGATAGGAAGTGGTTCCAACCACTGAAACGATACATGTCAGGGCTCAACAGCCAAAGGCTTCAGGCGGCAAAACTGTGACACTGACATTTAAGTAAGACACAGAGGACACATAGCTGGTTAACACTTTGGCTAAGGTCTTACACCGCCTGTGAAAAGGTCGCATCCCCTCCCCTTGGCCCTCATGTTCCAAAGTCTACACCTTTCTGACACTTAATCTTCAGAAAAACCCCTTTGTGTCAAAGGTAAAAACTAATAAAACATAGCTGCAAACTGATTACAAATATAAGACACTGAATTATTGATTGCACACTATTTACTCATTGGAAGCAGCCTTTTCCTTTGTCCTGGTGATGTACTACTTTGTGCATCCACTGTGTGTTGTACAGGAATAAATCATGAAAGAGGGAGAAAACAGTATAGGTGCTGTACAGTTAGGAAAGAAAGAGAGAGAGAGAGAGAGGGAAAGGAATTAAGACAGAAAGAAAGTTTGTGTGTTTGCTTATTTGAGGTATCCAGAGCAAAACTGAGAGGAGTTTTTCTGTGTGAAGCAGGAAGCCACTGCTGCTCCATTAGTCTTATAGAGATGCTGTCTGGCCAACAGCAACTGGTATAACTTGAAATACCAAAAGAAAAGAGAGTCATTTTATATTGAGGATGAAAGACAAGAGGCATGTCTCAGCTGAATATTAACTAATTTAAATGAATAAAACAGCTTCATATGGTTAATTTGTTTACTCTTTTCCATACCATTACGTTTTATAGGTTGCCTTAGTTGTAGCCTACAGTTGTTGGGGAAAACGGTACAGCTCGTCCTACCTGAGTGGGCTCCCCGGAGCCTAATCAGCACCCTGTAGCGAAATCCTCGAAATCCGGAGCCGTCACTCTTGGAGCGGGACCTGGAGAGAGACCAAAGCGAAGGAAAATGCCTTATCTCCGGGTGGGTGTCCCCCTCCTCTTCCATGGTCGCCTCCTCTGTCAGTCCGCAGAAGAGAAAGTTCACAGACTCGCAGTGACAAAGACGTGAAGAAAGCTCGCCAACATCAGCAGCCCGCCCGCTGACACTCACTCAAACTTTTTCTCCTGCAGCAGACAGAAGTGTGTGCAGTGCGTGTGTGTTAACGCCCATCGCCTCTGAAAGATAAATTGCTCATATAATTACTGTTTGAAATGTGATCAGACTACTAAGTGAGTAAGACTTGTGACAGATAATTTGCTTTTTTAAGTGAAGGCTAAACGTCACATTGGCTGATACGCTGTAATAACAGGCCTATCCTTTTTATTAATAGCCCAGTGCTGGTAATACTTTGTATGCCTAGGCTATGTAAGGTTGTATTTGCCTCACATTGCATGAATATTTAAATAGGCCTACATCTTTCCTATATCCTGGAACTCTGATGCGGTTGTTTTAATAAATGTCTAAGCATTATTTTCAGGAAGTGAGGACGTCTTCAGCTGTTCCCCGAGAAAACAGCACATTTATCGAAGCGTTCAATAATTGCGTTTGCCTTTTATCTGTGGGGAAGTAAAGATTACCAAATTAATGTTAGGCTACGCCATGACAAAACGCCAGTAACGTCACAGAAAAGAGACAGACCTAGTAGCAGCTTTTAAACATTAGGTGTCGCTAAATCTCCACTCTGGTGTAGTTATTCTGCTTTCCATGTGTTGACACCCAACGCTTGTCTCACTTTACACCCAGAGGTGATAACAGCAAAGAGCTCTCACTCCGATCTCCTTTTCCGGGAACTAGAACTTGAAAATATTTCATAGGTAAAGCTTTAAAAAGATGGTTGAATGGAGCAGATTACAATCAATATGAAAAAGGTGTTAACATCCAGAACTACTGTCTTTTTTAAAATGTAGGCTAATAGCTTGACTATCATATAGCTTCACACCACACTTCATTAGCCTACATTGCATTTATCAACAACAACAAAAAAATGCTTTTATCCCAAAAATTGGAAGAAGTATTCAAATATTTTACCTTTGTACAGAAAAAGTGTAAAAGCATTCCAGCATTTAGGTAATTATTAAGTATATAAATGGACATAACTTCTGGTTTTACTGTAAAATGTCTTTCATTGTCTTGAAAAGCGCTATAGAAATAAAATGTATTATCATTATTATTATTATTATTATTAAAAGTATAAGATCACATAAGTACCAAAAATAAAAGTACTCATTATGTAGAACAGCTCATTTCATAATCATATATTAGCATATATTATTGGATTTTAATTAGTGATGCATTAATGCAGTTGGTAAAGGTGGAGCTAATTTCACGTTATATGATGTTGGGTAGCCTAACCTATAATAATATGTCATAATGTATTAGTTTATTTCTATTGTATTTATCTAAATCTGCAAAGTAACTAGTAACAGTTATCAAATAAATGTAGTAAGTACAAAGTATGATATTTGCTGCTAAAATATTTGATTCAAAGTATAAAGTAGCATTTAGTGTAAGTTACATAAGTATTTAAGTAGCATAAATGTACATAGTTACTTTTCACCACTGTTAATAATATGGCTGAGCCTGTAGCAGAATTTCTGCTTGTATGAATTGATATTCAGCACTGACTTTGCTGGCTGGTAGTTTCAGTTGAAAAAGCGAATATGCCCGAAACATTTCTGCAGCATAATCCATAGTGAGCATCTCTCCTCAATATGTTCCACAAAGTCATGTTTGCAATTAAACACATGCATAGACTACATGAATGCATCACACTACCCTTAGCAGCATATTTAGTCTTCTTTGCACTATAGGCCTGTTAGTGAAAACTTATATATTAAGTAGTGGTAGTAGTAGTTCATATTATCTGTGAAACAATTCTCAATGTAGCTTGTTATTTTATGTATTTGTCACTCACGGTTTGAATTTTGTATCCATATCTTTGGCAAACATTTGGGACCAAGCTCCTGTAGTGGGTCGTTAAGTTTCCCTCGCCATTTTGATCCCTTTATTTTTCGGGTTTTTCCTATTGAGTGATCATCTTCATTAGACACAATCTATGCTCCACACTCACCACCAGCGGCAGGGCTCTGTCCTGGATCAGTGGAGATGGGCTGAGGCAGACCGACCAGACAACACCGAGACCAGCGGCCGCAGAGTGCAGCACTTACAGAAGGGAAGGCTCGGGTAAGGTGACTCGCAACACTAAGAAAGCGTTGTTGTTTGATACATCTAAAGTTGCCAGTTATATTTTTTGGAGCCAGTCTAAGACGAGTCGCCAATGTTAGCTAGATTACCGTGTATGACAAAACTTCTTTGCCAGAACGTCAGCTAAAATTAGCCAGGAACGCGCTCTTGTTTGTAGCAGATACAACAACACAGGATGGATAGTTTTTAGGTGGGAAATTATTATAATTATGTTGGATGTTTTGTGAATCGTTGCACACGGTTTTTGGCGTCAAGTAGCTGCTAATAGCAAGCTAACCTGAGCCATGTCTCCCAGATAACTTCAGGCCAACGAGCCAGAGTCGCTGGTGCTGCTAACACAAGTGTTGTGGAAGTCGGACGTTAGATGTTGGTGAACGTAACGTCAACGGTCTTTTATTTACGTTATCCTCAGTGTAGTTTGGAAGCTCTTTGGCTAGTAATTCCTTTTGTTGTAGTAACTGAAGACAGCCAACGTTACTAGTCACCATTTCTAGTGAGCGTCCTCTTTTTGTCCTGCTCTGGTAATACAAAAACCTAAACTAGCATATGGCTGTGGTAGTGCCTGAGTGATTGTGAAGGCCAAAGCCCTGTCAGACCTTAACGTGGCCTTAACGTGCTTTCAGAGCCAGACTCTGACCAGAAATTACTCTTTTCAGCTGAACCGGAATGACCTGTCCCACCTTTGACCTGAAGTGAGGCAATTAAGTCCCAGCCCTTTCTCTAGATTGCCTCTGGTCCACCAGCGTTTGTACGTCAATGCTTTTTCTCTCAGATGATTTCTTTCATTGGTCTTTCTGACTAACTGTGACTGTAGTGAACAAAAGAAAAATTATTTCCTCACTGCCAAGATTTGCTATGTGTAACTTAGCTCATATGTGGTAGGAACAACATAGCTTTGTTGTGTGACTGATGCAGTAGTGGTCTAAGATCATGAAAGGGGAATATAAATATTGGCTATCCCTGGCTATCCAGCTGGTCCTTACTACTGTTTTATGAGTTGTGATGTGTGACCAGTTGGCAGCCATGTGATGAGGACAGAAGCCTTTCAGCAAACATAAAGAGTTAATTTACCATGGGTATGTTTGACCTAGAAAGAAGTCAAGTAATATCACACAGCGCTATCCAGCCTTCTTCGGAGTTTGAACTTTATACTTGCTTGTATGTGCGGTCATCTGCTTCTCGCTAGCATTTTGTTAGTATCCATCCAATCTGAGGTTGCTCTAGCAGGAATTTGTTGAGTTTTAGACATCCACGTCTTGTGAATTGTTAGATCAAAATATCAGTCAGGCCAATATAGGTATTTGCAAATCGCTGTACAGAAATGCCAAATATACGTCTAGATTGGTGGTTCTCAAAGTGGGGTCGTTGAGGGGGGTTCTGGGGGTCCCCAGCATAAAGATGATATTGTAATTTAAATAAAAGCAAGGCACTTTTAAAACTCAAAATATTAAACACAATTCTATAGTTCCACCCATAAGTAACACAATGGCAGAATGTATCACTATTTTGGTCATGGATTTCAAACACTTTCTGTAATAAAACAACTCCTAAAAAAAATCCTATGACATGAGGGACCCTGGGACAAAATCACAGAACAACATTTGCAGTGATTTGGAGTCATATTTCTTGCCAGCTGTTGGTAAGTCGAATATTCCCTCTCTTATAGCTCTGTTTTTGGTCTCCTGAGGGAAATATGTGTCTCTTCAGCTGTTAAACGCTCCACCATGTTCAGCTGCTAGTCGCAAACATTGTCTGTCTGCTGTTTACTGTTTGCCGCTGTTTTGGCAGGTAGTGTAAAGTAGGTATTCAAAGCTCTTTTTTGTTTTTCCTGAAAACAGCTGCCTGCTGTGACAGAAAACGACGCTGTGAGAGTGAACCAAAGCAGTAAAGTTACAGCCGGATAGCTAAACAATGAGTTGAAACTCACGATAAAGCTCTGTGATTCTGAGTGGAGCTGCAGATTCAGGTGACAATTCTCTGTGAGCGACATTGTTATGATAAAAATATTGATTATGTCCTGCGTGGTACACATCTTGGTAACAATTCTTTAAAGAAAAAAACATAAGTGATCCATATTGAAAATGTTTTATGTTTGGTTTTTATGTTAAAAAAATTAATATTGTTGCCATCAGATTTTTAAAACTCTCAGATATCACCATAAAAATCCAGTATGGTCTAACTATAGTTAACATACCTATTTTCCTCCACAAGAACTTTAAAACTAGACCACCAATTTACTTGTCATTAAATTAAAAGCCTACATAGTCTACATGGTTGCCTGTTCACCTTGTTGTGATTTTCTTTTGCATCGTGTCTAATGTGTCGTGAGCATGCATGCAGAAGAACTTGTGCACAGTACTTAATTTACATAATCACTGAACTCGACAGAGATTCCCTCGCTCTCACATGACAGTCACTGTTTGTGTAGGGCTGAGATAGTCGCCTCTGACAGTGTTGCTCCTTCCTTGTTCCTGTGTGTCAAATGGGACTCTGGTAGACGCAGGGGCTAACTGAGATGCTCTCAGCTCTGACTTCATGCACAACAACTGGGCCTTTTGTCCCCGCTTTGGCCCCATCCACCCACACAGTTCTCATAATGTCCCGGAGAAAGAGCGTCTTTATCTCCCCTCATCTCAATCACATATTTTAGGCTCAGTCCAAAAAGACAGCAGCTTAAACAGGCTAATGTGACAATATGCCTACAGTAATACTGTGCCCACCCACACAGGGTTTGACATTGACATGCTTGCATCCACACTCGTAGGACAAAACAGATGTACTTTAAAGCTGGGGTGGGCAGTTTATTATTGTTATATTTGTTTAAACTCCCCTTAACATCCCAATAGCAATGAAAAAATCAAATGCTCTGACATGACAAAATCTGGTATCTGTTAGCCTACCTGCCTACCTGTGCACACTGCCTGTATACTCATTGTGCATGAAACTGTGCTTTGGGGGAGTTGCTTCAGAGCGGGGCCTGAAGGGAGGTGTTGCATGTTTTTCGGTTGGATACTTTCAAAATCTAGCTGTCTCTTGCTGGTTTTCTCCAATGTTGCCTACTGCAGCTTTAATCATTAACTTTTTTTGTTGACTTCCAGCAAGCTGTAGGTTTCAGGGATGTGTTGCACCTCAGCAGGTTAAATGTTGCACGTTCTTTCCCGCGCAGCGCCTGAGGGCGTTTGTTGTTTCTTTGTGTTAAACATGGCTGAGCTCTGTGGCGTTGTTTCTTTTTTCTTTTTTTTTTTGGGCCGTGCTCAAGTGGGTGCTCAGCTGTGGAGCGAGGGAGGGGATAGAAGGGGCTGGCCAGAGGCTTGCCAAATCAGATGAGAGAGCAGTTGGAGCAGATAGCACAGAAAGTGAGAGAGGAGACGTCGGTGAGGGAAAAGGAAAGAAAGAGAGCAAGCCAGTGTGTGTGGAGGAGGTAGGAGAGAGAGTGACAGTGTATTACAAGAGAAAAAAGAAGGACTCGGAGAGAGCAAAAGAGGGAGAGAGAGTGATAAAAAAGGATAAAGGCGGGGTTGTGGTTCATGTCACATGATCCTCTGGCAGTCTAGTGAGCTCCAGGTGGCAGAGATACAGTAGATACAGAGAGAAAGAGGGAGCGGGACATGCTGTAAAGGCTCACCACAAAGACAACTGAAATCCCTCATTTACTCCCTCCCTCCTCACACATCTCCCTTTCCACTCTTAATTTTTTTTTTTTTTTTCTTTCTGTCCTCCAGGAATTCTTCCCAGTCCCGCTTGCCCCCGCTCCTTTCCACTCCCGGCCCCGACAGGCCAGGGAATGTCCCCGTGGCGAGATGCCTTACGTGGACCGACAGAACCGCATCTGCGGTTTCCTGGACATAGAGGAGAACGAGGGAAGTGGCAAGTTCCTGCGTCGTTACTTCATTCTGGACACACAGCAGGGGAGCTTGGTGTGGTTCATGGACAACCCACAGGTAACTACACAGGAGCTGTGTTAGCTTAGCTCTTTTGTGTAATTTGTTGCTGGAAAATCGGACAATTCACAGGCAACTGCATGCCAGCTAACGTTATCAGTTATCATTAGTTATCAGCGTGGATGATCAGCTCTCATGTATTTGCAGGCTAACTGCAGGCCACTTCTAGCTAAGCTGTCTTCATTCATTATAAACGCAAAGCTAAGTTCAGGCTAAATGGTTCCACTGTCAGACAGCCATACCAGGATGGGAGAGGTGGTGTATGTAATTCTAGTTGACAGCAATCAGGAAGCATGTATAACAGGCACGGGAGTAGGTCAGGGCTAATGGTGTGTTTTGTGTGTTACCTATCAGCAGACGTTTTTGTAAATTGGTAAGAGTGAGGATAGAATTAACTCATAGTTTAACTCTAAACCTGAGATTAGCATTTTTTATTTCTTCTAGTCGTCTGGATGAATCCATGTAGTGAGTGCTGATGTTTGCAGTGACCACACTGATGATCGTTTTCTGCTCTGTGACCCTTCGTGGTCACAGTTATCACAGTGTCACCCTCCTCTTGGTTTGTACACCGTGCTGGTTTGCAGATGCTGTATTTGTAAGTGTGCTGTTACATGAAGTATTCATAAATCATGTAGCGCAGGAGAGATTTTTAAATAATTCAGAAAGTCTTTCTTTTTATAGCTTGAAAGAGCTTAAATTTTAATGATGTTAAATCTGGATCACCGTGTTTCACAGCAACTGAAATTAACTATCACGAAGTACATTCAAAGTATACTGTACTTGTTCTGTAATATTAACATGCTTTGCAGAGCTTCACTCTCCCACCACTGCTAAGGCTCCAGCCTTTATAAAATAGTGGACGGTTAGTTTTTTTGGTTCCTTTTTTTTTTGCATACATTGTTCTTTTTACCATTCTCTCAGAACCTGCCTATTGGTGCTGACTGTGTTGGCTCTCTCAAGCTCACCTACATCTCTAAGGTAAGAAGAAATGTTACCTCTGATGTCTAGCTGACACTAATATGATAAGATTTATAAACAGAATCCATTTCCAGTATTTGGTTGAACTGGGGAGTTAACAGTTGTGAGCTTTGTCCCTGCCTTTCTAGGTCAGCGATGCCACTAAGTTGAGGCCTAAGGCAGAATTCTGCTTTGGTAAGAAAACACTGATCATCATCACTAACTATCTGTTATTCATGTCTCACAATTAAAATATTAATTTCATAGTTTACAGCAAGGTCATAGAAAAATAGACCTAGTAGGAAAGAATTCACTGATTTCTTCTACAGTTAAAATCCATTTTTCCCTCTATATTGGCATATTGTAGCTAATAGGTCTTGGGCAATATGATTGACAGAATTTATCATATTAAATGGTAATCCAACTTCAAGAGGTCCCTGCAGTGCTTTGCATACTTCAGCATTACACGTTGACTAAGCTGAGGACACTAATATAACTTAAGGGAGGAATGTTTTATGTCCTTCTCTGCCCTCTTAACCTAGTCAAGCTTTCCTCATACTTTCTCCACAGTTGACCAGGCCGCCTTGTTCAACAGTGTCTGTTAGCCAACACACACAAAGATGCAGGAGGGTACAGCAGCTGGTGATCAGCTATTTTAGGATTGTTTGAGCCTTTCAGATTTCATAATCCTAATCAATGTGATGGTTGTGTTGGCAAGTCTTCTCGAATCATAGTTTTAAATGTTATAAATTCAGAGGCTCTGCAATTAGACATTCCTCCCAACCGTCCTGTTTAGTTTTTTATTTTTATTTTTTATAATTGTCCTCCCTGTAGTCCTGCTGTGGCATCTAGCTCATCCGACTTTCCTATTAATCTAAATATCATAATAAAGGTAGCTTGTGCAGTAATACTTAGTCTGTCTGCAGTAATACAGACTGTTGTGGAAAAGACACCAAACAAAACATGCACATATTCAGTCATTTAATTTAATTAAAAAAACAGTCCATCAAACATTTACTAACTGAAATCTGCTCGTTCCTGTCCTGACTAACTTGTGCTTGGGTTTAAAATACTGAACCTTAACCTTCAGTGCACTATCTCTTTCGATATTTGTCCTTGACGTCTCACCCTGTGTGGTCAAGACAGGAACAGAAAATGTTGCATAAATGTGAACCACTTATTTAGGAATAAACCTCCATTCCCTATTATTGTTTACTAGCCCTTCTCCTCCTCTTCCATCCGCTTCAATAGCAGGAAATACTAGTGTGTTGACTACCGTGTGTGCATGTGTGCACCAGTTGCCTTATTGAGATCTCGACAGGATGCCTGCGTCCTAATCACAACCCAATCCAGAGATCTATGAAGTTATTTTTAAACTGCCGTTTGCGTGCCACATGTTTTGCTGATATCTACGATATCTGCTACTCCCCCTTCTTCCTGCATGTAGCAACTTAAGAGGAAACATAGGATGAAGACGTATTTAGAAAGGTTTGCTTATGGCCGTCACACTTGCAGATCTTTTTACAGTGAGAAAGCAGAGACTCTGTTGCAGTCTGTGTTTGACGATGGATGTGGGCCTGTACCTTATGTGTAGTGGTGATAGAGATCAAGAGCGGTGCATTTGTGTGAACTTTGGTGCCTGGCTACATTTCTCAGCAACACACCTTGTTTTATAATGTGTAACTATGAGTCAGATCTGGTCCCCTCCTCCCACGTGTCTTTCCAGTACCTAAGAGATATAGTGGACAGATTTTGAGGTCAATACTGTTTTATTCATGCTTGTCATCTGAATGAGACCAAACACACAGATTTATTTACAGGGAAATGGGGGGACAAAAAAAAGAGAGCGCGGTGGCTCACATGTGTTTAAGAGCTGGACCAAACACACAGAACAAGAAAGAATGATCCTCATTGTGCCACAGAGTTTGAGCTCGCAGTGCCTTTTTGCAGCTCGCCCCCGCCAGATTTGCCAGTCCAGCTTTCATGTAATTTATTCACATGGTGGCGAAAGGAAACAGAGGAGACACAAGGATGGTTTGAGTTTCAGAATTGAAGGATTTATGGTAGAAAATGAGAGTCTTGGGTTCTGCCATCTCCTAAATCCTGATCCATAGTTAATCAGCATTTGACCCAAAAATTTCTTTGTGATTAAAAATGGGGTTTTCTCATGTTCGCTTGGGTGTGAAAATGTGTGAGACTATTTGGCCGTTGGGAGACGTGGGCTTTTATTTTCCCCCCTCCGTTATGGTTAGAAGTGGGTAGGTGGTGGCGGACTGAGGCAGCTGAATGTAGCTGGGTCATCATCCACATGGAAAGAGAGTGCTGCTGGTGTGTGGGAGAGTCCCTTGGCTCAGTTCTTTTTCAGTTAAATCTGTGGCAGTGGATCATACTTTCTTTTATTTTTTTCTACAAGAAAGGCCAAAAGTCAACACCCACCTCATAATATATATTTGTTCTAGTAGTGCGTATTTGCATGCGATTCATGTCAAACACAGAATGAATCAGATAATGTAGTGCAGACAATATGGTCTGACTGAGTGAAGGGGTCTGGATCTACTTTCACTCTTTCTACTTTTCCCACTGCTGTTCTTTATGGTCTATTAGTCATCAATGCTGGGATGAGGAAGTTCTTCCTGCAGGCCAACGACCAGCAGGACCTCGTGGACTGGGTCAACGCTCTCAATAAAGCCACCAAGATCACTGTGAGATAAACACACACATGCAATGTGCGCCAAAAAACATAAAAGACATACAGTCCATTCCTGATTCAGCTGTTTCTTTTTGGCCTGTGTTTTATCACTTGGAGAAACTTTTTTTATTTCTTCCTCTTCTGTGGAAATGAATGAGTGGACCGTCATGAAACTAGATAGGAGTGAGTCAGAGCATGACTAACAGGATGCTGTATTGTTGTATTGAGTGCTGGGATAAAGGACTTTTTCCATTGTTCTCCGTGAAGCTTTAAAGGCATGGTATGTGATTCTGGAGAAGTTCAACAGCATGACAAATACCATGATGTAGATAGAGCGAACAACAACACTGCATGTGATGCAACTAACGTTAGCTGAGTTGTGGGTTAGCTAGCAGACTGGCGCTACAGTTGCTGCAGTGAAGTTAACATGCAGAGAGGACAGGGTGGTTCCCAGAGCCAGGACCCCAGCTCCAGACAGCGAACGTCCGTGAGCAGGATATATAACGTTACCCGACCACAAATTTTGGCTGAAATTGTGTTGTGTATAGTAATAGTGTGATAGTTTACAGAGCCAGGGCTATGTACAAGCATCAGATTTATTTCAGCGCACACACAGAGCTGACAGCTAGCGGACTATGAGGAAATATTTACTGAATTGACATGCAGACGTGTATTGTTAGAATTGTGTACTCCACCTTTTAACTATTCAGAATGGAAATTGGTATTAAATGTGTTAAAGGCTAGCCAACTTCTGCATACATGCAAGTTACATACTTTAAGTATGGAAGAAAGGGGGATTTTCCATCCGACAGCTGAATTCTACAAAAATGCCTGTTTGTTTAGTTAAAAATGTCCTCAAACCGTGTGTGTGTGTGTGTGTGTCTTTTCCTAAGGTGCCAAAGTTGTCTGATGGGCAGCAGAATGCCGAGAACCAGAAGGCTTTACCAGATGTCGTAGGGCCCAAGAAGCAAGTCTCCTATAAAACAGAGATCATTGGAGGAGTCCCCATCGTCACCCAGACACAAGTAAACATGACCCACGTGCTGCGTATACATGCGTATATATTCATAAGCACGCTGTTATTTCCTTAGTTACATGTTTAGAAATGTATTAGATTCAAAGATGTGACAGAGATGAACACTCTGTAGGCAGAACGCTACATACGGATTTTAAGTAGTAATATTGTCTTAAATGAAAGTAAGCAAAGTGTATTTTATTTTGAAAAACATAAGCGTTTAATATACTTATGAATTTTAACAGTACTCCTACAGTCCTTGTTTTTATATAGTCATAAAACTGTTACAGAGGATTAATTGGTTTGTCCATCGAAAAAGAAAAAAATTATTAGTCATTTATCAAGCAAAAACATCCAAAGTTTCCCCAAATGTTGACAGATTCATTGATAAGTAAAATAGTCCTTAGTTGCGGTCTTAGAAACTATTACTGCAAGCAATATGTGTTCATGTTGACATCTGAGGGGAAATTGTATTATTTAAAAAAACATTTATAGTAATGATGTTGATGTATTTTGTGGTTGTAGAATCTACAATAACAACAGATATGTTTGTCCGTTTTTTAAAATGTTGTTAGAACTTGCAATTACAATATTATCTGTACACCTCAAGCATGAAGGTGGCGATGGTGCAGACAGAGCAGAGCGTGAGGCCATGCATCGCTCCCACAGCCAGCTGCCGTACTTCCTGGGCAGGCCAACTCAAGAGCACACAGTCATCAAGTCAGGCTACTGCGTCAAGCAGGGAGCTGTGGTGAGGACCTGCCACTCTCTTTATTTTCTGTTGGGTTGTGTTTGTGTCACCTTGTGGCCTTCTGGTACCGTTCAGAAATTAGGCATGTGACGGTTGCGGGCATCACTGGCAACGCACTTTTCTGATAAATCAGCGGCATTTAGTAAGCCTCACAATGGACACGCAACACCATTCATGATTAGTGGAACAGTTACAAATTATTTGACATACACAAAAAAATATAGCATCTCATATGGGAGAGAATGCAAAGTCTAATGAGATGATGAGATTTCAGCTTCATTATGGTAAATACAGTATCTCACAAAAGTGAGTACACATCATATTTTGACAGATATATGATTAGATATATATATATAAGATTAGACAGATGCTCAGTAGGGTTTAGGTCTGGAGACATGGCCACTCCATTTTCATCTTGGAGGTGTGTTTGGGGTCGTTGTCACGCTGGAATACTGCCCTGCGGCCCAGTCTCCAAAGGGAAGGGGATCATGCTCTGCTTCAGTATGTCACAGTACGTGTTGGTATTCATAGTTCCTTCAATGAACTGTAGCTCCCCAGTGCCGTCAGCACTCATGCAACTGTAGGCAAGACACACTTGTTGTTGTGCTCCTCACCTGGTTGCCGCCACACACGCTTGACACCATTTGAACCAAATAAGTTTATCTTGGTATCATCAGACCACAGGACATGGTTCCAGTAATCTATGCCCTTAGTCTGCTTGTCTTCAGCAAACTGTTTGCGCCACCATGCTGTCAGTTTAAGGGTCTTAGCAATCTTCTTAAAGCCTAGGCCATCTTTATGTAGAGCAACAATTTTTTTTCAGATCCTCAGAGAGTTCTTTGCCACGAGGTGCCATGTTGAACTTCCAGTGACCAGTATGAGGGAGTGCGAGAGCTATAACACCAAATTTGACACACCTGCTCCCCATTTGCACCGGAGACCTTGTAACATTAACAAGTCACATGACTCCGGGGAGGAAAAATTGCTAATTTGGACAATTTCACTTAGGGGTGTACTTACTTTTGTTGCCAGCGGTTTAGACATTAATGGCTATGTGATGTGTTATTTTGAGGGAACAGCAAATTTACAGTTATATAAGCTGTACACTCACTACTTTACATTGTAGCAAAGTATCATTTCTTCAGTGTTGTCACATGAAAAGATATAATCAAATATTTACACAAATGTGAGGGGTGTACTCACTTTTGTGACGCACTGTAATTCGATTATGAAAATGCAACTTTTCCAGTGTGCACAATTCTGTGCTTTTATAAATGCCCACGGATAATGGACTTCCCCCCTCTATATATAGACATGGTAAAATATGTAGGAACTACATTATAACTAGCATTGAAACTGTGGTTTCATTATTGTAACAAATGTGACCGATCTTTTTGCCTGGAAATTATACAACATCTTTTCCCCTTTCTCCCCCAGATGAGGAACTGGAAGCGGCGATATTTCCTACTGGAAGAAAACTCAATGAGTTACTTCAAGTCAGATTTGGTAATTAACTTTGTTAACTTGAAGTTATGTGAAGCCTTTAAGGAATGTATTTTTTTTTATTGATGATACATGTGGATTGGATTCAGCCCAACAGTCTGAAGCAGAGTAACAGCAAACACACAGTCCCGAGTTCTAACATGTTTTATCGCGTTCTGTGGAATTTAGTGCTTTCACTTCACATGTCTTATCATGCCTTGTCCCCTGTCCTCCACCCTCACCCCGGCCTTTCTTACATACATACGTATACACATACACACACATACACGTACACATACACATACAAACAAACAGGCTGTCTCAGGACAATACTGAATGTCCCATACACCGTCCTTGTCCAGGTCTGCCCTTATTTGACAGCTTTATCTGTCTATTTGGCTATCAACAGGCCCCAAGGACACAGACTCTCTGTCTGCTGTATCAAATGGCCAGGTCAAGAAGGTCACAACCATTGGGGTTTTTTTGTTTGCCATCTCTTACTTCTCTGTATTCTGTTACTTTGAAGCAGAAAAAACTCAGCAAGACAGCTTTGGTTTTATCCACCATATCAGAAAAAGAATTTGTAATATACATATACATGGTATTATTTACCCAGTGTATTAAAGTCATTAACTTTTGGCTTCTTTACATATTATAAACAGCTATGTTCTTGCTTGCCCTTAGGAGAAAGAGCCTCTTAGAATGATCCCTCTGAAGGAAGTTCACAAAGTCCAGGAGTGCAAACAGAGGTATTTAACATGTCCCAGCGTTTTCCCATTGTGCAAAAAAATGTCTTTACTCCAGGAGGACGGTGTTTATTTTTTTCTTGATTTTAGATAAAAATGTAGATGAGATAAATCTGTCTGACTTGTTTTCCAATTCTGTTGTAGTGACATTATGATGAGAGATAATCTGTTTGAAGTCGTCACCACATCAAGGACATTTTACATACAGGTAGGATGTTTTCTGTGGGAAAAGAAATGTACAGATGATTCCCGTGCACACACTCGGACTTCAGAGCCTGTTTTTCTTCCCATAAGTCTTATCTCGTTTTGATTTTCCGTACTGTCTCGCTCTCCTCTCTGTCGCTCACTGTCCTTTTTGATTTGTGTCTCCACTAGGCAGACAGCCCAGAGGAGATGCACAGCTGGATAAAGGCCGTCTCAGGGGCCATTGTGGCCCAGCGGGGACCTGGGAGGTCTGCTGCCACAGTATGTACCTTGCACTACAGTACAGCACAATGTCACCATAATATGGATTTAAATAGAGACCTAAAATGTACCTGTGGAAATGGCTATGACTTCAGACTTGACTTAATCTTGCATGTCCAAAACTTGACAAGAACTTACTGAATGATATCACTCACACGAAAAGTCAAGACTTATTTGTGTTGTTTAACTCGTGTCATTTATTCATTATTGTTCGCAGTTTCTTGCTATCACAAGATCTCACAGCTGCCTGCTGCAGAAATGAATTTAAATCCTTTTTGACTTCATCTCTCTCTATGACTGCCTTTATTATTGTATTAGAACAATATTAAGCCCAGCTGTAGTTGTGGTTGTATAGTCTGAAAACATGATTCATGAAGCTAAATTCTGCTCTGTGTAGTCTACATTGGTAGCTCCCAACTCCTGAGTGGCAGCCCGGTACAGGTCCTTGGGACATTTGCTACCAAGCCGTAAGGAAAAACATGATTTTGGGGGGTAAAACGATTAATGTGTTTTTGCAGTATTTATTTACCTTGAACTTGGCTTTTTCTTTTGATTGTTTTTCAAGGTAGTTTTTTTGCCATGTTATGCCTTTTTATTAGACAAGCAACAGTTGATAGATGACAGGAAGGGGGGGGGGGGGGGTCATGGGTGGAGATGAGGAATGACATGCAACAAAGGCCCCCAGCTGGATGTGAACTGGGGACGTTGCACCTTAACCCCTGAGCCACCAGGCGCCCCTGTTCTGTTTTAACTAAAGTGGGCCATCAGTACGCAAAGTAATCAGCCTGTCACCACCTACATGATGACGGACTGGTGTACTCACACAGACCATCAGTTCGGTGTGGCTACACTCAGTTTTAGAACTGGTTAATTGCTATAGTTTAATCAGCAGCTTAAGCTTAAAGGCACAGAGACTAGCAGCCAGACTTGGCAGGTGAGAAGAGGGAAGTAGAGCAGCTCCATAATCCTGACTGCAGAGGAGAGAGTGTCCTCTGCCGCAGCTGGTCCCTGCTGGTTAGACTGGAATCATTTTCAACACCTCTGCGCTGTTTGTTTCTCTACAGTTCCCTCTTTCTTGCCTCCGGTGTGTCTCTCTCTCTCTTTCTCTCTCTCCTGCTTGTTTTTCTCTCGCCTCCTGTGCCTCCTCTCTCTATCCTCCTTTTTCCCCTTTTCTTTCCTTGTCACATTCTCTCCACCTCCCCCTCTCCCTCTGGGTAGACGGCCCATCTGCTCTAATACTGCTTTGCACTGTGTTGTTGCAGATGCGGCAGGCCAGACGGCTGTCGAACCCCTGTATACAGAGGTATACATCCCGAATCGGGGAGTGCAGCAGCACGTATGTCAGCTCGTCTAAATCCCCCTTTTTAAACTATAAGTTCACCTTTTTTAATACTGTTTTTCCCACTCACTGGCTGGCCCTTTGTGGTTGTAGACATCATGAGAGCAGATCAGATCTGACGGCACATATGATGGTCCTTTTTATTTTTTTCTTCTAAGAGCCAACCACATCCTAAGTATGGCTGTGATAACCCAACAAGCGCTCCTCCCTTCACGCCCTTTTCCTCGCTGCTTCTGTCATCTACTCTCTCCTCCTCCTTTGCTTATCTTGTCTTTTGCTGCACTGTTACTTAAAGCTCAGCTCAAAGTTTGAGCCCATTTCATTCAGTGCGCTCAGATTGTTCCCATTTAAACATGGAAAATAAAAATAAAAAAATCGTGCTTCAGAAATATTAAGACTTAAGGTGTGCTTGATTTAGCTTCTCTCGCATGTGATGACTGTGGCCACGAGCATGGCAACTGAAATGAAGCCCACCTCAAGTTGTTCAAATGCTAAAAAGTAATATTTTTGCCCAGGGACAGAATGACTCTAAACAGCTGGAATATGACCATCTAACCATCGGAAAAACCTGCAGTCACCGCCTCCTTCCCTCCCTTATAGCTTCACTTGCACAGCTTTCACCTGTCATCAACATTAATGATGATGCTTCAGTGTAAAAAAAAAAAAAAAAGAAATAGAGACATACAATCTGCAAATCTACAACACGCTGCATGACCTACCTGACAATCTTATTTAATACCTTAAGCCTGTTTCTATCTCTGTATTTATTACTGGGTACATGTGTCTTTCACACCTTCTGTTTCTCTTCCCTTCGTGCTCTTGTTATCTCTGCAGTCTGCTGCAGCTCTGTACCTGTCTTAGATGTGTGACATCCTGCTTGTCTCTCCTCCTCCCTCCTGTTCGCTGCCTGTATGTTTTTTTTTTTTCTCTCTCTCTTTCCGATACACACGATTATAAGATACTTGTTTCCACGTTGACTTCCTATACCACTTGTGTGCTAAATGTTGAACATTTTAACAGCTTTGAAATGAGGACTCACCAATGCCGAATCCACACGTCAAGAGTCACAGTTGGTTTTTATAGTTGTGTGTGGACTTGCATGCAAATATTTCGGTTTTTAAATGCTATTAGACTGAACTGCGGGCAATGTTCCAAGTCTTCAGTGTGGTAAATGATCTGACCATCTGTCTGATGGCCCCTTAAATTCAGCATAAGCTTGATTTTTGACCTTTGGATTCAGCATAAAGGATATTTTTAATACATGTGCCACTCTCCCAAGTTGTTTTTAGACATGTTTGTGCTGTTCTGTAACTGATTCTTAAATCGTGTGATGCTTAAGTGATGGCAGGCTTGTGAACCTTGTCATAGATAAATCCACAAAGTCACAGAGTGTCACTATGCTCCTGTAGCATCGTGCGGGACACTCTGTCAAAATGTATACTTAAAGTTGACAAAGATATTTGTCTTGAAGTCTTTATAGCAGGGATATTTTTTTCTTACCAACATGCTCTGTGGCTACCTCTTTTTGCTTTCACTGCTGTGTTTTTTCTTTCTTCCCATGCTTCTGTTTTGTGTTTCAGAGATTGAAATATGACAATGAAAAGCTGTGAAATAATGAGCAACAGCCAAGCACTGCTTCCTAAGGCACTTTGCTCCTCCACTGCAACCTGTTGAGAGTACCAAAACTAAAACCTGCTGTCACTACTACCACTACTCCCGCTACTACTGCTACTACTACTACTACTACTGCTACTACTGCTACTACCACCATCTCAACTCTCTAGCAATGCTACATTCTTCAGCAACCTCCAGTATCAACTCTGCTAAAGCTGCATCAGGCCACACATGTTGGTGTTAATTTCAAATCTGAAACTCACTATTGCTCTTCTCAAAATAAACTACACATGTCGGAATTTCACTCTTCTTACTAACAACCACTCATCTTGTTTCCCTAATTCACACTGTCTCTGTGTCCTGCTGTTTCTGCTGCAGGAACACGTCAGCCATTCCACTTTCTACCGCAGCCCCGCGGGTCCCCCCATCCCTCGCTCGCCCATATCTGCCATGCCACCATGCTACCCAGAGCGGGGGGCTGCTGTCACGTGCAGCGCACGCTCGCAGCCTGGCGTGGGACAGCGAGCACTTCATGAGCCTGCTGCCGAGGCCCAGTCACAGCCTCACACCAGCACGCTTGTCCCTGCAGGAGACGCGCCTGGCAAAGTGACCTGCAAGCCGCCTGTGACCACCATCAAAAACTCTGAGGAGTCACCGTGGCGCCGGCGGAGCAGCTTTGAGCCCCATATGCCTGAACATCCCCTGGACCTGGATGACGCTGACCTGCCAGTGAGCGAGGTCTGAGCCGTTGAGTTGGACATTAAAACATGAAATCTGGATCAGATGAAGAGGGAAACAGGTGTTTTAAAAAGGGCAGGCATTGGTTTTCAAACCAAAGCTGTAGGCGGATGACGGCTTACAACATCACAAACTTGATCCTTTGAGCTTCTCCGTCAATGCGGTCAGTGTGCTAGAGAAAAAAAGTTTGGTCACCACTGAACTGCACTCGTGTGCCAAAGACGACCTGATCTTCACCCACACCGCTCCGCCTGCCTGCCGTCGCATTTACAATCGTGTATTTATTTCCAGAGAGTTGATGTTGTCAAACTAATTTTAGTTAACTTGTGCTGATTAGAATTCAGTGACAAAGCTTTATTTTAACCTGTACAGGCACAATGACACGTTCAGTGGTATTTCTGGGTGGAAGACGAAACCACTTTGTGCCGATAAAATAAGGGTGCAAGCTATTTTCTCTTGTCTAAAAAGAGTGTTCAAACTGAAGACTGGCTTTCCATCGCATCTCTGATCTACTAATCTGAACTGCGTGGTTCATTCATACTCACTTTTGTAACTCTGGATTTGTTTACTATTGTTAGCCAATGTTGTGTGAGATCAAATCCTCAGTCTAATGCAAATTATAATTTGAAGATTCTGGACTAGGACTAGATGTGTACAAATTTAAATATTTGTGTGTGTGATAATGCAAGACCAAATGTATTGCAGCCATGACTTTTTTTTTAAACAGTCTTTTGATTTAAATTTCTCTTTATTTTTAAATATATCGGAGGGTTAAGTTGCTCATTTGTGTAATGGTGTCCTCACTGTTGTTGACCACGAGCTAAAGTAGCTTGCATGTAAATCTACAGTGAATAGTTTTTACAGTTGAGCCACCTCTGGCAGTAAAGTGAGAGTTTGACTGCAGAAGCACAAAAGAAAAACAAACTTTGAAAGCTACCGCAGCACATGCATCACTTCACAACCTGAATCAGCCTCTTCTCTAACTTCATTTCAGCGTGCCAGACTTTGTGGGCGTTTGTGACACTGGATGACGTGGGGAAAAAGGAACAGCAGCTTGTATACATTTTGTAATTCATAGTAATAAAAACTTCACCAATAGGGCTGGGTCACTTACAGATAAGTAATAACATGACAGGGTAATAACATGAGGAAACTAAACCTGCAGTCCGCGGTTGGAAGATGATTATACCGTGTGAACGCCATGCAAACATTTTGGATCATGGTTGAACAGAAAATAAAACAAGCTCACACACTTCCGTTGCATGTTAACATAATAATTCCTCAGATTGTTTTTCTGTTCTGTTTTTATCTACGGTCGTTGTGTGTTTGCAGAAAAGAGCTATGTGGAGCAGACTTATTTTTTATATGCTTTTAGATGTTTCCTGATCGTATTCCTTGTACCTCTGTTGCCAACCCAGCAGGAGGCAGTTGCCTCATTGTTTTATTGGAAAATGTCTGTAAAAAAACTGTAGTCTACTAAATAATACACTCTAATTTTATAAAGTGCCTGCTTCATTTCAGCCAAACAGAGTCGAGCTATTTCACCCCTTCTCAGTCTGGTGTAATTGGTTTGAATTGTCTGTATTTATTATGTGGATGACTTGAAAGAAATAAACACTGAATATGTGCTCATGCTCTAGGAGTGTCACTCAGTTTTGTGCTCAGAGCACAATTAGTCTGTGACGTTAAAAGATTAAGCCTGGAAAGAAAGAAAGAAATTCACCCTTGTGGGCATTCTTGGCCTGTTTTAGTGCTCAACTAACTGCTTGTCCACCCATTGAGGCTCCCTCTGCCCTCTCGTGGTGAGAGAAGAAACTTCACTCTGGCTCACACCCATGAACATGCTTTGAACTGAATGAAAACATGGTGCTGTACATTGGTTATGCATTCATCAACTGTAGGATGAAGTTTTCAGAATGGAAATCAGGTGTCCAAAACACCATCTGCAAGAATGAAAGCAGCGTAAAACATCAACAGAAAATACATGAAAGCAACAACACAGCATGCTGTGGGGACACTTCAGAGCGTTGACCAGGAGCGGAATCTGAATTACTGTAAGCATGCAAAAAAAAACATGTAGTGTAGGCTGGACCCACCAAGCTTCCCCAAACTTTTAAAGTGAAATAGATTGTGTTATAATCTATTATACACATGTGGTCTGCGAATTGCAAAGACTTTTTATGGAATATTATTACTGTAGTTAAAATTAGGGCACAAAACATACATACATTATGATGTATAGAAAACCACATAAAAAAAGTAAAATTAATGTTCAATGCATTGAATTGCATGTCAACTTCACCAACTCGTTTAGTTCAATTTTGCTCTCTAAGAATTAGGCAGGGAACTGGAGGGTCGCCGGTTTGAGTCCAGCTCGGGCCAGATATATGGAGTGTGGACTGGTAGCTGGAGAGGAGAGGTGCCAGATAACCTCATAGGCACTGCCGAAGGTGGCCTTGTGCAAGCCCCTGTACCCCTAACTGCAGCACTGAGTGGCAGCCCCCTCACTCCGACATCTCTCCATGTGTTGTTGATATGGGTCCTAATACCAACAATAATAACAGAGTGTAAAAAACATTAAATTTCCACTTGCGGGATTAATAAAGTATATCTTCTTCTACTACTAAAGCCAAGTAACACAGTACAATATTTCCCTCTGAATTGTTTGAAAATGAAAAGTATGAAAATAAATTAAAGTGAAGTACAAGAACCTCAAATTCATGCTTAAGTAGGCTACAGTACTTGAGTAAATGTACTTAGTTACATTCCATCACTGCACATACAGTGTGCTTGTTCTGTCATGTGTGTCCCTCATCAGCTCTTAATGAGGTGCTCTTTAAATATGCAGCGTCTGGCTTCATACAGCATGTGTAGATCCATTTACAGAGTGAGGTCATGGAGCAACACTGAATATGTAACACCTCTAATCAGATAATGAGCTATGACATATTCTGGGCTTCAGTCACTATATTGTGGATACCGCTTGTGTAGGCAGTGGGGAGTTGATAAGGATGGTGTCAAGTGGTTCATAGAAAAGACGGAAAAACAACATGCCTGTGAATATTTAGGCCGACTCTATACTGTACTTCTCTTTACGCAATCTTCACACAGTCCATCTCAGCTCCTTATTGGAGGATGCAAGACTTTGGTGTGGCTTCAGACGAGCCCCATTTGGATTCTTGAGGGCCTCCATCACAGCCAAGACATCATCATTGCAGACTGGAGTGGAGAGATCACACAGACCTCAGTGGCGTCCATCCCTGGTTACGCTCTCTGGCCTTGGTTGGAGAATGGGTGTTCCTTATAGATGAGGTTGTTTTCATCTGTGGATTTTCCCACCATTTCTCGCCGACATCCTTGTGCTCCATGAGTATTGCCACAAAATGGGTCTGATGATGCTGCAAGGTCTCACTACAGCTGTATGAGTTACATTCATTCTTAGATGAGTCGACTGTGTGTGTCGTTATGCGTCAAAATGACATACTGCTCAAATTTCCTGTCTCAGAAATGAATGTTCCCTCTAATTTACCTCAAAACAATGAGCCTACCTTGGAATCTGGGTTATAAATCTACATTATGCACACTTACTGCTTCCTGTGCTCTACAAGGCAGTCTGGTCTGTGAGAGTGTGTAACTGCCCTCCGTACCTTTATGCCCCTCTCTCTAATTACCCTTTGGATACAGAGGCTTGTGTTACCTCCAGCTCTGGTGCACCACAAGGGGTCTCGTCCCTCCATTTCCAAGCAGTGGTTTTGAGAGGGGCTCACCTGCATCCAGCCACCACATTTAAACCAAGAGCCTTTAATACAGCCCTGAGCCCATAATCACATAAACACATTGTACTGAGGTGTTTTATGACACTGAGTCATTGCCTTAGTGTTTACTGGATTCTTTTACAGCTCATAGATACATCTGAACCTAATGGATTCATTGATGGCCAATACTAAAATGTGTTCCTTTTATAATATAAATTTGTGTCATTGCAACTCAAATCACATTATTTTAGAGAAAATTAGTTTTCCATTAAGCGTGTGGCACAAATGGCTATTGAAAGAAGTGTTTTGATTATTCTTTGATTGATTTACACTTTAACTTGGGAGGCAATGATTATTATTTGGATGTCCCCATTAGAAGTTTATTTCCCTTCCAGCTGGGTGCTTGTTATAACCCATAGAGCTGGAATAAGACCATGATAAATGGATAAATTATGTTCTCAATTTTACAATTAGAACAAATTTGGCTTTTTATGAGGGTTACGTGAAAGTGTTAGGCTACATTAACTCCACAAATCCCACAATCCACCAAACGTTTTTTTCCACCACTGATTTTCCTAAATAGCCATAAGGCTTGTGTGGACGCCAGGAGTGACTAATTCATAAAGGGTGCAGTTAAAAACAACAGGCAGGAAATAGGTCTGCAGGATGTGTGGAGGGCTGTGCAGCATTTAAACATCAGGTGGGCTGCATTGCTCTTTTCACTAGTGTGGTTTTTAATTTAAATATTTTATTTGTTTGTAAATAATTAAATCAGTGTAAATGCCAATAGACTGTAAAACTGAAAATATTGGCATGGCTGGAATGTCCTGGAGCTTTTCTCTGTGCGTCCACCAGCTCAGAGAAGTTACACACACTTTTTCTTCAGTGCTGCTGCTTCAAAATATTGAAAGATTAAATAATTATTATCGTACATCAATTCCCATTCAGGCTTATTTTCGGCTTCCTTCATTTCTATTTTTTCCTCAGGCTTTTGAGCCAATAATGAAGCTCTTCCGTTCAGTGCGTCACATAAACGTACCAATCACCAGGCTTGTTGTGAATATCCAGAAAGTGAGTTGGTTCTATAATGCGGTGCCAGCGGGAAAAAAAGAAAAGAAAAAAGAAAAGGTCGCGTAATTGGTTGCGCAGTGGAGTTTCTGTTAAATGCCTCTCCAGCTGAAGTGACTCCCCCCTCTCAGCACTACTGAGCTCTCTCATCCCATAACACTGCAAGCAGAAAGTGCACATATTGGAACTAAACTTTCTATTTAACTTTTTCTTTACACTCATTCTTAGTTTGAATCATGTTTTGGTCACTGCTGATGTGCGTAATCGTAGCGCTTGCGTCCGTGCCGGCAGATGCGCAAATCTCCAGCCGGTATGTTATCGGATGTCCTGCTCGGTGTGACAAGTCGATGTGTCCCCGGCTACCAGCGGACTGCCCGACGGGACAAACCCTCGACGCCTGCCACTGCTGCCCGGTGTGTGCGTCGGGCGAGGGCGAAGCCTGTGGCGGCAGCGGGAAGCTCGGGGACCCGATGTGCGGAGAGGGGCTTGAGTGCTCGGTCGCGGGCGGGGTGGCATACAGTGTCACGGTGAGGAGGAGAAGCAAGAGCGGGACTTGCGCGTGCAAAGCCACCGAGCCGGTTTGTGGAAGCGATGGAGTGTCCTACCGGAATATCTGCGAGCTGAAGAGGGTCAGCCGCCGGGCGCAGAAGCTGCTGCAGCCACCTGTTCTTTTCATTCAGCGGGGAGCCTGCGGGAAAGGTAACATCCAGATTGTTTTTTATAAGATCATCACTATCAACTAGATTTGGATGATTATGATTATCGTCATATGAACAATACTTTTTCTGCATTTGGCATATGCCTAGGCCTATTTTCACTTTAGGATCCACTAAGCTGCACGGTGTTACTTTTAAGACAGAAAACTTTATCAGTCACAGCATGTCCAGATTGTACAGTAGAGACCATACCATGACACAGAGGTTAAGAAGAGGAAAGGTGAAAAATGAGTCAACACTATAGTTGTATGTGGGAGATAATCAAATCCCAGCGCTGCAGTACCTTTAAGGTTCAGACATACTGAGTCAAATAAAAAAAGTGTCTACTAAGTTTGTGTAAATTTTATTTTTTGTGTGTTATTTCACCTTCACTCTTCACAACTTGCTCTTGAACGTGACCCCTCCAATCCCCACTGGATGTTTGTGGTTTGAACTGTAACACAGATGTTATAGCTTTAAAGCTGCATTCAGTGGCACACAGTCCCCATGTGTCTAGGATAACAAGAGCCACCATTCAAGTGTGTATCCCTCTTGTTCCTGCATTACAATTAGACTCCATCAGAAGACTGATTTTACTTTTGCCCGGTTGAATGAAGTCATGAGCTTTGCCCTGATGTAAAGCTTGACATGAGCCTTTGGATTTTCTCCGGCATGCAGAACCAGCGGTCACATGGCTGTAATCTGTTTGATTGTTTTATACAGTCATGCCAAGACAGTCTGCATTAGCTGAACAGAAAGGAATTTTTCCAAAGCCTGTTAAGTATTATATAGACTGTTATTAAACAACACCAAAGTGATAAATTTGTAATAATCTATATATGCGAGTATTTCAGTATGGACCTGGACTTTATCAGTGTCATGTGAAAAGTATTTCACTCTGATCAGTGGAGCACAATAATAAACAGACATCATTCTTCACTTCTGCTGCTCTATGAAACAGAACAGCCCAATGCACATTCTGTCCAATTCAACCAGTGAGTCATTCATCATCATTAATGCTACGTGTGTAACAAAGTATAAAATTTCGGGGAATGAAAAATGGCCATTTTTAAACACACGTGCACACATGGGGCAACAGGTGGTAAAGACATTGTATCA